ATGTCATACTCTAATACAGTTGTATGTATTGTGAAATTACATGCATGCTACATAAAAAGGGGACCATCAACTCTCTTTCATGAGAGTTTGTACATATTTGCAATAAGTATTCTGTCAATTTTTACATATTGAATATAAAAGTTTGTGAGAGGTTTCTCGAAGAAAATGTCGACGACAAAAATGGATTTTTCTCGCAAAAATCACAACTCATTAATGGGTGTCCGCTTGGTCGTCCCGTGATTTTAAATCGAATAAGTAAACTTTATTCGGTGTTTGATTAGTATCTATATATAGATATTCAGTGGTGAAGCCAGAATTTAGTCATCGGAGGCGGTGGTGAATATACATTAAAATATTTCAATAAAATATAACGTAAATGAATTAACAATAATGATTGTCGAAGAGCACTGAGCCTAGGATTTTGTTATAGAGTGAATTAAAACTTTCGAGGGTTCGTGGGCAATTCCCATAGGTTTTCTTTGACAAAATCAGAAAATAGGAAAAGAATATTTTAGGATTTTTTGCTTTAAATTAAATTTTAGACGGACTAATTAATTAATAAAAATTGGGTGAACTAAATAAAAAAGATATAGATATAACGTAGTAAAAAGAAATCAATTGAATGTTGGACTTGAGTTCACCCTTAACTAAGGGTGGATTCGCTCCTGGTTTCAAGTCACAATTCGTTATTATCCTATCCTACTTGTTATTCCCTCTGTTCCATATTATATGTCTTTTTAGAGAGTTTTTTTTGTCCAAAATTATCTGTCATTTTTTATTTTCAATGCATCATTAATTGCACTATTTTCAATTTTACCCTTTATCACCCCTAATTTGTTAGTTGTAAAATAATTAATGTCAAGGATATATTAATATTTTCCTATGGTTTTCACTATAATCTATACACATTTATTGATTTTCTTAATATGTGTGCAACAACCCAAAACGTCATTTAAATTGGGACGGAGGGAGTAGTAAGCCACATTTATTATATTTCTTTGTTTTTTCAATTAATAATTTTTTTTTATATATTTAAAACCAAATTATTAACAATTATAGAAATAGAATACAAAAGTCAATAATTTATATATACATACATAGTAGTAAAATAATTTAAATTTTTGGGGGTCGTGGCCCCCGCCTTACACTGGCTTCTCCACTGTAAACACTCATTTTAGAGTCATAATAAAGTCACAAATATCTGATTGGTCTAGTTGATAAAATCTGAAATATCTTATTAAAGAGACAACTTTATGCATTAAATATCAAGAAAGAGGTCGGCTGGCTGTGTATAGTCCAATTTTGTGGGGAGTATCGTACGTGTTTGATCAATTCACTTTGATTAAGAGTACATGTTCTTCTCACTCTCTATATATATATACATACATATATATACTTCTCCCTTAACTTAGAGATATATATTTTACATTCTTCTTCTTCTTCTGCTTCTGCAAATTATATATAGAATGGCTAACTTTCCAAAGTTGAGGTTCACTAGTACTGAAGTTGCTCCCCCGAAGTTTATCTCCGTGACAAAGCGTCCACTAATGAAAATCTTGGACACCATTTACGAAGAGAAGGCGTATACATCGACCCTTTTGTCGTCGTCGTTCGACAAAGTGCTCGATCAAGTCTCTCCTTTCGAGTGATTTATATATATGTATCCATATATGTATTATACAAGTGTTCTAATCTTCTTCCGTTTTACGAACAAAGTAGGAAAAAAAAAAAACAATGGTTTCATTACCATTGGCTAGTCGTCTACTACTACTATTACTATTACTACTGCTGCTAGTTGTTTTTTTTTTTTTTTTCTTTTGAAGCAAGATTGGATCTTCGCATCAGAGCCTGAATTTTATGGGCAGTGATTGATGATGAAAGATTGGTTGGTCTTTGAAGGAAGTAAATGAGTTGTGTCCCGCCGGTGTAATTTGCGGGAATTTTATTAGTTTATCGAATAAAGATTTCAATTTTGTTTAGTAAATTAAATATGTTGTGCCTCTATTCCGGTATATTCGAACATACAAGAAATTCTCTTGTTTGTAGAACTCGATCTCAAATTAACATTAAGCTTCAATGAAAAAGAACCATCGCGAGGAGAGTTGGTACACAACCTCTGTTATTAAAGTAGAGTTGTAGCGTTCGATTCTTAACCCCATATTTTCCCAATTTATAACTAGATTTGAATTTATGAAAAGAAAATGAACAAATGGCAGAATTATGATTAACCCTCTAATAAATAAATAAAAATCTAGCTCAATGTAAATATATAAGTTAGTGATATTTAATAACAAGGTGTAGGAGCTAATTCCCTAAAATATATAATATGGAATATTCTTGTGTTGAAAGATTCACACTTGTTTAGATATTTGTTTAAGTTGATAAAAATGATCCAAGCTGGCGTAATAATGACAAGAACTTGTACTAGTGGTGAAAGATGGTAGGAAAATGCGGGGAAATGAGTTTTGAAGCGAAAATCCCATTTTTCCTATTAAAAAAATCAGCGAAAATGATAAAAGTAAAAAGCAAAAATGCTAATAACAATCATATATAACAAAAAACTTCAAGTTGTTTTTCAATTAAAAAAAATGAAAAACATGAATATTTTTCTTTCTTTCTTTCTGCAGTCGTTGACCGGCGGCGTCGACTTATTTTATTTTATTTTTTCTTTAATTTTTTTTTTCTTCAGCATCTTTTTGCCCGTTTAAACAGTAATATTGTTGTTGTTGATAGATATAGTAATTATATTACTGTTTAACACAATAATATTAACTATATTACAGTTTAACACATTAATATTGTTATATTACTCTCTAACACACTAATATTAACACAATAATATTACTTATATTACAGTTTAACACATTAATCTTGTTATATTACTCTCTAGCACAGTAATAATAATACAACAAAAATCACTATTACTGTGTAATAGAGTAATATTAATATATTGACCGTTCAACGAAGTCAAACATAATAAAAAATTAAAAGAATTAATATTGATGCGGTTGACATTAATATTAAAATAATATTACCTTCAAACACAGTAATATTATTGTGTTTACAGTAATATTACAATAATAAACAGTAATATTATTACGTTAAACGGACAACAAATCAAATAAAAGAAAAAGGGCAAAAAAAAAATATTGATGTGGTTGACAGTAATATTATCGTGTTTACAGTAATTTTACCGTCAACGACAGTAATGTTATTACATTGACTCGTCAACAAATGAAACAAAATAAGAAGCAAAAAATTAATAATATTGATGTGGTTGACAGTAATATTATTGTGTTTATAGTAATTGTATTGTTAAAGACAATACAATTACTGTAAGTTGACAGTACAATTACTGTCAATGACAATACAATTACGGTCAACGTTCAGTGCCGGACGTAAAAAACGGATAAAAATTTTAGGAGAAAAAATATTCAAAAACAATCAACGCCGGAGACCGCCGCTTAACTCCGGAAGGTAAAAAACATGAAATAAAATTTAAGAAAGTCAACGCCGGATATCGGCGGCAAAAAATAAATCGAAAAAAGAAAGTTTGAAAAAAGAAAAAAGTCAAAAATTGATGAAATTAAAGTTAAATTGGGGTTACAATTAGGAATTGCGTTTACAGGATTGGAGGTAAATTTATCATATACATTAATTTTACCTTTATTTAAAATACATATTAAATGGATGAGCTTATTGACAAAAGAGATATAACCCTTAAACCTAAAATAATGAAGATAGTTGATGAGAGACTTATGTACAAAAACCGTTATATGATAAACTAAAAAACTACGTAAAACTAGACTAAGCTCATAATATGAACAAACTATTGTTAACCAATGAAAGTGGTTCGATTTTCCTTTATTAAAGGAGCATCCATTCCTAATGCTCTCCCATAAAATTAATGTGATTTCACATTTCAATACCAAAAGCAAACTCTTAATTATTTGTGAGCCTATAAATAGTAGAGCATATTTTTCTTGAAAAATCATCATCTATTAATAAATAACACAAAAATATAAGAATAATAATATATTAATATATAAATATGTTTAAAATGATGAAGATGGCATTTGTGCTTAGTTTGATTTTACTATCTTTCTTCACGTGTGGAGATTGCAAGCGCGACAAGCCTGCGGATTGCACGAAAGTTCCGATCGAGAAATTAGAACCTTGCAAGACGTATGTGTTGGGCACGAACAGATGGGACAAACCCGGGAAGGAATGCTGCAACGCCGTCAGATCTTTTACTCGTCTTAACATTGATCAGGCGGTTGTCTGCGAATGCTACAGAAAGTCGCCACACAGATTGTCTTATAAACCCGATCCAGTTAGAGCAACCAAACTTCCTTTCTCGTGTGCCAACGCCACCAAATTTAGAGAGTACCTCTATTGTCTTGTGTAAGTTATTTTCTTTTATTTTAATATATTTTAAGGATTTTTTTTAATATATGTATATATTTGAATTACTACACGATACGACATCTGATGCGCGTGTTTTTTTTTTTTTTGGTTTATTGCAGTGCTAAGTAGATCGTTTTGACCGGTGGCGGATGGTCAACGATAACTGAATAAGATGCGAGTCGATTGCTTATACATAGCACAATATTATGCAACAATAATGTTTTCTCGATGTTTATCTTTAATGGAATAACTAAAGTATTACGTTGCATTATTCGTGTTTTTTTATTTTTTAAATTTGGCGCTCTTTTGATTAAAACACGAAAAAGAAGACCAAACAATTCGAATGTGTAGGAGAAACAACGAATTATTCAACAGTGAGATAATCGATACAAAAAATTACATAGATTACTACAAATGTTGTTGGATACAGTTTATCCTAGTACAACATGGTATACTTGTGTTAGAACCTTCTTTTTTTTCTTTTTTTTTTTTAAAGAACTATTACAGATGAATTTAGTGAACTTGAACGAATGCTCAAAACCTCTTCGCTCTTCAACAAAACGGAGCTCAGTTTTCTGATATACGTAACTATTTACAAAGAAATAGCAATAGACGAAAGGCTGATCAAATCAATCCACTGGTCTTTTTTCATCGTACCGTTTTGGGGTGATTATCTGCTGCGGTAGGCGATACGATAGATTCAATGGACCCCACTTTTGAATTAAGCATATTGATTTAGTATCCCTTTTAATTAATTCTTCAAGTGAAGCTCAAGTGCAGCTGACATTGAAGCCGATGCCTCTTCGAGTTTTCGTCTCTTTTGCACCGAGTTAAAGGCTTCGATTGTATCTCCTTCCTCCCATTCGTCGAATTCCTCGATACCGATTCCACACTCTAGTCCAGCATTTACCTGTAAAAAAATTAATAATAATAAATAAATAAATAATTCTCAGAGATTAGTCCCCAATTAAATGCTACTACATCATGAAATTAGTAACACCCCTCCCCCGCGATTAATTTTGTAGGGGGTGACTAAAACGGAAAATTACAATTTTATCCTTAAAACAATAACTTAATTTTGTTAAATAAGACAATTCACATATAATAACAAAATCTAACAAATTTAATACATGTAATCTAAAGAACCAAACATATTATTAACTAATTAATTAGTTAATCAGTATAAAATTAATCCAATCTCTAATATAATCCGGTCTAATTCAATATAGGTGAGCACACGAGGCCTAAGTGTTAAAAAAACAAGGAATATGGTCCGTCAATTTTCCGATTAGTGGAAAAGGGATCGAGTTTATTGCATCATCTATCAGATTGCTAAAAAGTCCTTGTGTTGTAAATACTTAGCAAAATCACTCCTATATGCATTTTTTGTAGCACACAACCACCTAAACGATGAGTTTTTCACATTTAGTTTGCTGAAAAGTTGCATCATAGGGAGGGTTTTGGCTAATATTTATAGCACAGTGATTTTTTCAGCAATTAGACTAAACCACAAGGGCTTAGAAGGCAATATAACCAAAAAGGCTTAGTAAAAGAAGAAGGCATAGAGGGGACGAAAACTCGAAATTTTGATTACCTCTTTGACCAGCTCTTTGACCCGTCTTAAGGAACCGAGTACACCAACATGAACTTCTTTGCCTTTTCTTAGAACGCGAATTCCACAGTCTTTGACTATTTTGCCCTCCGTTACCATGCATCCAGCCACACGCCCACTGCCACTACTAAATACAGCCCTTACTTGTGCCGAACCAATTGGTATTTGTTCCTACACAAACAAACAGAAATTTTTAATCATCACTTTCTCGTAAGGCCTCGTAAATTAAATCAAATGCTTTTTACGAATATGGTTTTTACCTCAACTGAATCGAGGAGTCCCTCCATAGCAATCCGCACATCATCAATAAGCTCGTAGATAATTTTATAGAGGCGTATTTCGACGCCTTTTTGATCTGCATAGGTTTTGACCGGACCAGGTGTTCTTACATTAAATCCGAATATAATAGCTTTAGTTGCGACCGCCAGGTCAACATCACTGGCGCTGACATCACCGGTTGCTTGCAGTAAGAATTTGAGAGTGATGTTATCTTGTGGAAGTACTTGCAGAGCTTGCCTCACTGCCTCCACGGATCCCTGCCGATTAATCCAAATATTCGAAATAATTTAATAATTGGAAAAATATTACAGTCGATGCATTTTGAGGAAAAAGAAAAAAGAAAACGACAAACGTACCTGAACATCGACCTTGAGTATAATATTAAGCTGGTGCAAATCTAATCCAGCACTTTTTCCAGCCGAAGCAGCAGAGGCAAAGGATGAAAGAGTAACTTTACCATCCCCTGCTTTTTCTGCAATACGTTCGTCTCTCATACTATCTGCCCTCAACTCGGCCTGTTCTCGAGCTATATCGAGCGAACTCACTACCTCGAACTCATCTCCCGCTAAAGGAAACATATTTAATCCAATCACCTGCCCAACCATGCACCATGCATCACAATTATAAGGAAATATATATATATATATATATATATATATATATATATATATATAATATATATATATATATATATAATTTGTCTGTGTGAGTGAGTGTGTGTGTGTGTGTGTGTTACCTCAGCAACAAGCATGACAGTTTCCAGCAATTCATCAACATTCTCTCCTTTAAGAGCACTTATCTGTTACATATTATCCAGTAAAAACTTCAGAATCCCATAAAGCAAATTTCTATTTTATTTTTTTATTTGGCATAGAATTTCCGATTTTTTTTTTTTTTTTTTTTGTCACCTTGACCATGGGGACATCACCACCCCAATCTTCAGGCATCAAACCAACTGATGAAAGATCTTGCAAGACTCGATCTGGATTAGCTCCGTCCTTATCTATCTACAATCATGGATAAATAGAAAAAAAAAATTAATTCAAAAATCCCACAAAACCAACATTAAATTCGAAAAACCGAGCAATAATAACACCACTATCAAGAATACCTTATTTATAGCAACAATAATCGGCACCCCAGCTGCTTTGGCATGAGCAATTGCCTCAGTTGTTTGAGGTCGAATCCCATCATCAGCTGCAACCACAATTATTGCAATGTCGGTCACTCTCGCTCCACGCGCTCTCATTGCTCCAAAAGCCTATGCAAAAAAAATAAAATAAAATAAAATAATATTCAAATAGCAATAAGATCGACGAAAACTCAAAAGTAACAGCATAAGCTAGAAACAAAAGAATTACCTCGTGTCCGGGAGTATCAAGAAACACACAAGTTTGTGTCTTTCCATCAATAGGTACTTGAACCTTATAAGCCCCTATTCCTTGTGTAATACCACCAGCTTCAGATGCCGCCACCTAAATAAAACGCAATAGTTACAATCCACATATCATATTGATTAGAAACACTCGATGAGATGTCACGTATATATATTATATACGTATGTACCTTAGTCTTCCGTATGTGATCCAAAAGTGTCGTCTGCAAAACAGACAAAATCCAGTCAGTGGGACATTATATAAAATAGAGTAGTCTATTAAGAAAAAACGGGAAGAAAAATTAGTACCTTTCCATGGTCAACGTGGCCCATTATAGTTAACACAGGAGGTCGATCTTGTAATTTATCCAAGTCGTCTTCATCGAAAATTTCCTTCTTTTTCGCCATATCTTCCAATCTTATAGGATCAGCATCAATCACTTCCACCTCGTACTCTCTACAAATCATCTTCACCATATCTTTGCTCAGCTTTTGTACACCATCAGGTTTAATTCCCTTCGAGTAGAAATACCCGAGAATTTCGCCTTCACTGATGGCCAAATTGAACGCCAGCTCATCGGTCAACATACCATCTTCTTCAACCTCAATGATCTCCATTTTGACCGGGGCGGAATCTCTTGCCGCCTGGAGCCTAGCAGCCTTCCGGCTAGCTTTGGACCATTTCCTCCCCTTTCTGGCACCACCGCCGCCGGGAATAGATCCATCGAGCTCCGATATATCCTCGTCATTGTCGGCAGCCTTACGCCTTCGAAACCCTCCGGCAGGGCCGCCTCTTTTCCTAAATTCATCCTTGAATTTGCCGAGCGCCGGACCCCGCCCGGGTTTTGGTGGGGCCAAAACAGCTTGAACGACAGCTGGATCGACAGCCGGCTTCTTGGAAGCAAACTTGTCTATTAAAATCGTCTTACCACGTTCTTTAGTCTTTGGGGCTGCAACTGAATCGGTTTCTTCAGCGACAGGTGGCTTCGAAGATGCGTTTACATCCTTTAGAATGACGGGTTTTTTTACTGGCGGCAAAGGAGGTGGCGCCACAGAAGGTCTTGCTTGTAACATAGGCTGGACTTTTAAAGGCGGTCTAAGCGGAGAAACGGGCTGAGCTTTGCTAGTATCTTGTTTAAAAGGCTCCTTCACTATGGTTTTCTCTACAGCAGCAACTGGATTACCCTTTCGCCACACGCTCTTTGTGTTCTTGGCCTTGCCCACGGAAGCAATCGGTTGACCGTTCTTTTGGTCAACTGTTACGCTAGCCGTAGGTTTATTACTTACAGGCATGTTCACCTTCTTAGTCTCTAGCTTTTCTGCCTTTTCCAAAACTGCCCCTAAAGACTCGATTACACTACCTCTCTCTCCCGATGCACCATTCGTCTTCTTACTATCCAAAGGGGGGCTTAGAATGGGGTTATTGACCTTTGGTCCTGCTTTCAAGACTGGCTTAGGAGCTGCCTTTAGAAACGTGTCGGTGTCGCTTTCTTTACTAGAATCGAGCGAAACTGAAGTGCCTTGATCGGTAATTACATCGGTTGTTAAAGAATATCTACAAACACCAACATAACTCAACCTTTTGCTGCTCCAAGACCTTCTAAAACTAGCTCCGTTTCTGTGGAAGGCGATGCTCCTAACTAAGCAAACCGACCCATCGAAATTACTGAACGAAATCATGTTCACGCTTCCCAAATTCGCTAACGAAGCTAAAGAAGCCATTGCTCAACACTTATATACCCTCCAACATTCCCAAAAAAACACAAATTAGGAAATTCGTCTATACCTCCCCAACGGTACAACAACAGCCTTATCCGTATAATTCCAACAAAATTAATTTCAATTCCCTACAAAATTAATAAAAAAACATAAAACAAAAATTCAAATTCCATACACCATCTCCCCTTTAATTAGAAATTCACCAACACACACATCCTCAGCTACATAAATTGCAGCAATCAACACAGTAAAAAACAGTTCCGGAAAACATGGCAGAATAACCCAGATAAGAAAAACACTAAATTAAATAAAAATTCACCAACACACTACAACCTCGGGTACAGAAATTGCAGCAATCAACGCAGTAGAAAACAGTTACAGAAAAACACTAAATTACATAAAAGCTGAGCAAAAATATCAGTAAACAAATATACCTGCAAAAAATGGCGAGATTACTTCCTTCAACTGCCGGCAGTTTCTCTCACAATTAGAAGTGAGAAGAGAAAAACGGGAGAGATAGAAGAGCTGAAGGAGAGAGAGAGAGAGAGAGAGAGTGGGGGTGTAAGGAGAGAGAAAAACAGGAGAAAATGTGGTGTGGGTTGGGTTGTGGTGTTTGTGTGGCTATTTCTCTACCTTTTGCATGATAAGGCTTTCTCGCACTCCAGATTTTTCCTTCGCTTCTGTAATTATTTTCCCTCACAAGTACTATATATGTTTCAAATATCCAAAAACCTCAAATATTAATTAATCTATGTTTATTTCTGCAAATTGGATTAATTTCTATATTTATGAATTTATTTTTTATTAATTTGGAATTATCAGCTATTTAATTTAGTAACTAATGAACATAATCAAAACAATAAAATATATATGTTTGATTGGTGTTTAATAAATAAAATAATTGCAAATGTCGTCGTGCAATTGGCCCCGCTCGAGACTTGTTCATTAATAAATCGCGAAAACTGTTTAATTTCGTATGTAATAAAGGGATCGAGTCAAAAATAGTTTGAAATGTAATTTTCTTTTTTGGGTTTATATTCATAAAATTTAAGTTAGTACTCGAGGAATATTTGTATTTGTAGATAATTTGTACTTCTATCAAAGACTTTTGAATGTAAGAGATAATTTATATTCATATCCAGAAGCCTTCAAATTCCAATTTATAGATTGTTTATACTCGTACTAAGAATTTGTAGCTTCTTCATAAAATCTTCTTCTCTTTTTATGAATTTCTAGATAATTTGCACTCATATCAACGAGTTCATTTGAACTCGAATTAATAGATAGTTTATAATTGTGTCAAGGAGTTTTTCATTAAACTCGAATTTATTAATAGTACACTCGTATCGAGGAGTCTTCGTTTGAACTCATACTCATAGCAAAGAGTACGATCTGTCAACTTTTTAGACTATTGTCAAGGACTTATTCATTTGATTTGATTTATAAAATTTATTAGACTCATTTCAATAAGTTCTTCATTTTGATCGTTCGTAGATCGTTTAGACTCCTAGAAAGGAGTTATTTATTTACTGGGAAACTTGGCTAAAAGTCCTTAAAAATAATATAGTTAACTGTCTGCCCGAATGCTTTAATTTACTAAGAGTTCATCGGGGTAACTTAGTCGTACAACCTAGACTGAAAATAGACAACTTAGTTGAAGAGTTTAGACTCAAAATAAACAGTTTAGATTGAAAATGAACAACGTAATTGAATAATTTGGATTGAAAATAAACATCTTAGATGAAAATAACCTTTTTTCCATATGAATTCTTTACTTGAGGTATTAAAAAAAAAACAAGCTTGTCTTTATTCTTAGTTCGTTGTTCTAATTTGAGGTAATATGACTCTTCGAATGGTGGTTATTCAACTCAATTTCCAATTATATTTAACATGTTCTCGAGTGACCAACTTTTATAAAGTTCTAGGTTGAATTACTTTAAGAATATATTGAGGTTAAATTAATTTTATATATTATTCTAATTCCGTTCTATATAAATTTAGAAAAATAAAAAATCGGAATGAAAAATACGGTTTTAAATTCGAATATTTTCGGATTGAAATTGGCAGAATTCGGGAATTCCATTCCAATTTCCATCCCTAAACCTGGTCCACGTCACTTGTCTCTCGTTGCCAAAAAAATTAAAGGGGCTCTTTGACATGACCCCTCAAACATTTCATTAATAGGGAAATGTCTAAACGAAAATGCAATTTGCGGTCACAAAATTGCTATTCGCGGTTTATAACAAAACCCCCCAAAACTTTTAAAAATATCAAAAAACCCCCCAAAACTGCAAATAGCAAAAAAAAAAAAAAAAAAAACGAAAATTCGAAATCAAGCTTGAAGAAGGGTTGGGCTTCGATTTTTTGATGTAATTTCGACTCTTTTATGTGTAACATGCATTGGGTAGGTCGATTACGGAACCAATTTTATGTTAAAAAGCCCTGCAAATCAATTTGTAGGGCTTTTTTTTTCGCAAAAAAATGTTCGAACGCCCAAGATGGGCTTGGGCGCCCATCTTGGGCGTTCGAACATTTAAAAAAAAAAAAAAAAAAAAAATTTTTTTTGCACTGGACGCCCAACTCGGGCGCCCAAATGCAGCTGGGCGTGCACTGCATGAATGGGCGCCCAAGTTGGGCGTTTACGCGTTTTGGGGGGTGTTTTTGGATTTTTTTTGAAAGTTTTGGGGTTTTAGTGACATAAAGTGTTTTTTTGGAGGGGTTTGTTAGAAACCGCAAATAGCAATTTTCAAACCGCAAAAAGCAATTCCCATGTCTAAATTATAATTCACTCTTTGAGATAAAACTATATTCCTTTCGAGGATAGATGAGTGAGAAGTCGAGGTGGGAGACAAATCGAAAACAGGTTGGGACCATGAAGAGGTCACGAACGTTGTCGTGGAGGGTGACGGTGGGGCGGGTGGCGCGCTCCAGAGCATACTAGTTGTTGCAGACGAAGGCGGCGGAGTTGCGGCCGCAGACGTCGAACACGACAACAACTATGTTTTTTCGCTAAATTTTGATTAAACTGGACGCTAACACCGACTATGTTGTTTGCATAATCGATTAATAATTCAAATATGTTTTTTATAGATTTATTATTTTAGATTTAATATATGCTTTAATATTTTAATCAACTATACAATAACTCGACTATGCAAATAACATAGTCGATTCGCGTCCAGTTTAATCCAAAATTTGCAAAAAAAACATAAGGTGAATTAGGAAATGACACAAAAAAATAAGGAGAGGGTTTTATCAAATTATTTTTTTAAGGGGGTTCAACCTCACATGATTTTTCCAAACGAGGGGTCTTGCTAATTTTCCCAAAGTTAAAATCGCTACACCAAATAGAAAAAAACAAAGGTAAAGTCGGTTTCTTCCCGAACGCGACTCCAACTCACTAGCAAACAAATAAATCACGCGCGGTGCACGTGCATCGCTATTTTATTATATTTTTATTTTATTTTAAAGTACAATTAGCAAATAGAATCCCACACTCCCCTCGACAACACCACAACTGTGTGTGGGAGTCTGGGAGAGAGAGGAGAGAGAGAGAGAGAGAGAGAGAGAGAGAGAGCGAGCTCCCGATTTTGCAGAGTACCGAGGGCTGACAATTTGTAGAGAGAGAAACACACAGACACACAGTGGAGAAAGATACACACACACCCTCTTATATATACATAGATATATACGTATAGAGAGAGAAAGCGATGAAGGACGAAGCTATTAGCTCGTCGAGGGACCCGTTATTGCCCCCCAGATCTTCTTCTCCTCCTCCGAGCCTCACTCCCGCTGCCAGGTGAATTTACCTTACTGCCCCTTCGACAACCCTTTTCCTTCCAATTCAGTTGCCGTATATTGTGTAATTTGAGCGCGCACCACCCTATTCAACCTATTTGATTGCCCTATTACGTATTAACTATGGTGTAATTTGAGCATGTATTAGGTGAATGCTCATTTTTTAGAATTCAATTTTGTGTTTTGGCCGTCAACTTGTTGCGTTTGTATAATTTTTTTTTTGCGGAATTAGGTCGTACAGTGTTTTGGGGCTTTTCGGTGATTTATGAATTACTAGCTTTTCGGTGTGTAATTGGGGGTTTTTTCTTTTGGTTGCCAAAGATTTTAGCTTTTTTGTTCGAAAAGTCTCTTTGAGCAGTTAATATTTGTTGTCAGTTTCGTGGGATCTATAGATACGAAGTAGTGTTGACTGGAAAGCGGGTTGAACCCCCTCCTGCATCTTCTTTATAGTTTCCTAGAATTTATATTCTGGTTTTTTTCTATTTGGAAATACATTGATATGTATGGGGGAGTTCTATATATTACCTTATATGAAGTTCGAATAGTAACGGTAAATTATATCTCTCTGGAAAGAGTTCATGATTTTGTTCAGTATCCAGATCTTTTGTCGAGAAGCTTTTTTTCCTTGGATGTTGTGTGTTTAGACTAGCTTCTTAATCATATTTCACTTTTGAACTTTAAAGAGTTTATCAAAAGAAATTTTTTAACTTCGAACGGGGAAACACGATAAAGTTCCCTTGAAGAGGACAATCAAAAGCGTCCTCTGTAATTTTCTTATATACTGATTATAATTAGATGAAAAGTGAATGATTGCCGCCACATGGTTCTGAATATAATAATCTTTATGTGTGAATCAAGTATTTATACGGCTTTGTTCCTTTGAACAGTTCTGCCGGGGCATCATCTGCTGCTGTTCCCACAAATGCTGGTAGCACAGATTGGTATGGTCAAGGGCAGAATTCGAAAGGAGGGTCACTTTCTCGCATTGGTTCACAGCCTATGTATGCTTCAGTGAGTACTAGTGCTGGTGGTTCTGCTCTTGGATCATCACAACCTTCATGCAGGCCTTGGGAAAGGGGTGATTTATTGAGGCGTCTCTCAACTTTCAGACCCACAAGTTGGTTTGGGAAGCCTAAGGTTTGAACTTGCCTTGCCGTTTTATCATTGGCTCAACTCATGGGAAGACTATATTGAATATTTGCACTTTGTCAGCTTTATTTCATTACATCACTTCGGAACTATGTGAATCTGGTTATAATGTGAGAGCACCCTTAATAGTAACTAGAGAATGATGGAGAAAGCTAATGCGAAAATTTGTAATCTTGATGGAGGAGAACTTGTGTTAGAAAAGAGAAATTTGAAGTATGGGATAAATTACTTGTTTTAAATTTCAGAATCTTTCAAAGGGCCAGAGTGATGACCTGGATGTGGTCGATTGATCTTGTCCTGTGCAAAAAAGTTCAGATGGTGGTTGATGTGATTATCACTCGTTAGGCTTGCTGAAAAATTCATTTTCCTCATGTAGAAGGGTAAACAAAAATAGTGAGAATGCCTATCAGAATGATTTAAGAAGATACTGATTTGTGATGAACTAAATGCTTGCTGGATTATACGTAATGCCTTAACGTGAAATACATTTTATCCTCTTTTACTATTCGGAGTTTATGCTCCATACATAGCATTCCATTGGACCATCATGGATAAATAGAGATGCAAGTTTTTAGACTTATCTTTATATTGGTGCAATTTTCTTTTCAGGCTGCAGGTTCACTTGCCTGCGCCAGAAAAGGCTGGGTGAATGTGGATGTCGATAAAGTTGAATGTGAATCATGTGGTGCAAATTTGAAGTTTGTTTCATCAGCTACCTGGACTCCTTCTGAAGGTGAATCATTCTGGTAGCTGATGATTAGGTTAACTGAAGGTTTCTTTCAGTTTGCTCCAATTTATTTGTGTGAATATTGTTTAAGTTCAAATGAAACAGATAAGAAAAAAACTGTTTATATTTTTACTTGACAATTCATGGGTGTTTGTTGACTATTGGTTTCTATTACAACAACTTGCAATCCTATTTCATGGACATATGATTACACGCCAACTATAGTTACTCGGACAAATTCGATATCTATATATCTTTGCAAGACCATGTATGCAGTCCTTTTCCCAGTATTGCTTTGTATGAATTTTATGACTCTATTGATTACGATCTATTGCTTTGTGAAATTTATGACTATTATGATTTCAAATATTCTATGCTTTTGGAGATTGGTAGTATATGTTGCAAAATAGCCACTTAGATAGTTTCACAAATCTCTTTCAAAGGAAACATTTTTACCCATGGTTCAAAATCTGAGTTAATGAGACGTGTGTATGGGTGACTAATTCGTGAAGTCACAGCTAATTGCTAAATTTTATCATATTGAAGAGTCCAATCCCAATTTGCTTACATTCAGATACTGAAATTTATGTTTGTATCGATAATTTACCGTCAGATTTGTTGAATAAGTTTTTGTCAAGCTTCTACTGATTTCAAATGAAATGTTGTGTGTAGAAAAGATAAGGTATCATGCGTAGAAAATCCTCATCATTATCTTTACCTTGTTGCTATATTTACCAGAAACAGTAAACCTGCTGCTGTTGTTACTTTCTGTTCAGTATTTGTTGCTTATTACTACCAGAGACAGAGCTTCATTAGGTTTCTCTTGATTAGCTCCATTCCCAATTACTAGTTTTCTGTTTGGCAGCTGACGGTGCTGGAGAAGACTTTGCCAACAAACTCGACGAAGGGCATAAAATCACCTGCCCATGGATAGGAAACTGGTGTGCCGAAAGTCTTGTACAGTTCCCACCAACTCCACCATCAGCACTAATTGGAGGTTATAAGGACAGGTGTGATGGGCTGCTCCAGTTTCCGTCCCTCCCTGTTGTGGCTACAGTTGCAATCGAACTAATGAGGGTCTCAAGGGGCCCAGAAATTGAGCGGTTGCTGGCCCAGCCTCAGTCCGGACGCAGTGAATCTGGTATCAAGCTAGAAATTTGTTTAGGAACTGAAAACTCCAGAGAAGACATCTTCTCTATATACTCTCGAGTAATACTTTGTGTCTTAATTTCAAAAATTTCCTTCGCTTTTTTGATATATTTAGCCCTTTACTAAAAAAGCTCTATCTGATTTGCAGGCTCAGAAGCTAATAAGCCTTTGTGGATGGGAACCGAGGTGGCTTCCAAATATTCAAGATTGTGAAGAACATTCTGCTCAATCAGCTAGGAATGGATATTCGATTGGTCCTTCAAAATATCGCGGTCCTCCCCGCGACCCTAGCCGTGGCAAGAAAGCATTGTCCTCTTCCACAAAAAAGCATGGCGGTGGTATGAATGAAGTCATAGGCACCAACTCAAAAACTATATCTAGGTCCCCATTGTTGGATTGCAGCTTATGTGGTGCAACAGTGAGAATCTGGGACTTCTTGACCATCTCACGTCCTGCTAGTTTTGTTCCTAACAGCACCGATGTTCCGGAAACTAGCAAGAAGATGGCACTGACACGTGGAATAAGCGCAGCGAGTGGAATCAACGGGTGGGTTGCTGCAGATGGTATGGATAAAGAGCAGGGCGAGGGCCACGACGAAGCTGCAACCGGTGAAGGAAAATCACTGTCGAATATCGGCGTGGATTTGAATCTTACTATATCAGCTGGGCTGTCTTCTTCGCGTTTGCCCGCCAATGCAATGGCTGAACAGTACCAAGATATGCATAGAGGTAGAGATTTAGTGATTGGGCAGCCTTCGAGCAGTGAGGTTGGTGACCGTGCAGCATCATATGAATCACGTGGTCCTAGTTCCCGTAAGAGGAACTTAGACGAAGGTGGAAGCACAGGTGACAGGCCACAGTTACTTGTCCAACAAGCAGACAGTGTCGAGGGAACTGTGATCGATCGTGACGGTGACGAAGTTGATGATGGTGGACAACAGTATTCTGCCGGTCCTTCAAAACGGGCTCGTGATTCTGGTTTCTCTGAGCCTCGCAGGTCATCGCCTTACGGAAAGGAGTCTTCTGGTGTGGGTCCCAGTCGGGCGTTTGGTTTCGACATCGGAATCGATCCTTATAAGGATGACTTTGAACAGGGACCCGAGCAAGTAATTGGTTATCCGTCAGCCAGAGATTCAACAAGGGTTTCCTCTGTTATTGCAATGGACACTGTTCACAGTGGAGATGATGATTCAATGGAGAGCGTCGAAAATAATCCTGGAGACTTTGATGACATACATCAGCCTTCAACATCGACAATCAAGAACATAGATCCCAGCGAGACGTCAGAATTGAACTACAGTAATCAAGCCCAGCAGAGTGCCTGTCCAGCTGTTGTCAGAAGTGCTGGTGAAATGGGTGTTAGTAGCACAAATGAAGAGGAGGTAGTAAACACGGATACTGCCACTGTACATAGGATGGATGGTCCCAGCCTGGGAGTTAGTGGAGGAAGTGTTGGAATGGGTGCTAGCCATGAAGCTGAAATTCATGGAACTGGTGCTGCGTCTATATATAGAGCTGACAGTGTTGTGGGTGATATAGAACCGATCGCTGAAATAACTGAAAACCAAGGTCAGACTAGTGAATTTGCTGCGGATCCGTGGTTGATGGGTGATTTTGTACCTGAAGAAATGGATCGAGAGGACCCTCAAGGTGATAGTCAAGATAATATGTCTCGATCTGTAGCGAGGGCGGATAGTGGCTCGAAAATTGTGGGTTCGACTAAGGCGGAATCTGTTGAGAGTGGTGAAAAGACAAGTAACATGCGGGCCACCTCCTTTGAGACCAATCCACATCCTTCACTCTCTTGCAATGCAATCTTATGTTCTGGCTTTGAAGTATCTAAAGAAGAAGTAACTCAGTCTGCAAAAGATCTGAATACCGATGACCTTGGATATGTGGAATCAGGCTACAAAGTTGCAACTGGAGGTAAAGTTATGCTGGTTTTGATGAATGCGTTACACTGCTGCTGTATGGAATTATCATCTAATATATTTATACGACATTATGTATTCGTAAATTGTAAACTATTTTAAGTTTTTGGCACGTCAAAGATAAAAACTGTTAGTGAAACCGTGAGTTCGATCTTATGGATTCATTGTGATGTAATTTGCTGTGTAGTTAAGAGCTTCTACACCTGGAATCTATTCTTTCCCTTGTGTTCCTTCTAATTATCGAGTGATTTTTCTTCGTAACATTTTTAGGGCCTCCAAATGGTGGAAGCAACTACGATGAACCGGTCGAATTTGATCCAATTAAGCACCATAATCACTTCTGTCCTTGGGTGAATGGAAATGTTGCTGCAGCAGGCTGTAGTAGCAGTAGCAGCTCTGGTTCGACTGCTGGTGCTCTTGCGCTTTGTGGTTGGCAGTTGACTTTAGATGCTTTGGATGCTTTTCAATCGCAAGGGCAGATTCCAGTCCAAACAGTTGAATCTGAATCAGCAGCTTCCATGTATAAGGTTCGTGTCCGTACTCGTATTTCTCTCGAGTGCCTTTTCATTTGCAATTGTTTTGGTAATTTTTTTTTTCTTTTGCTGCAATACAACTGGAACGAGTCATTCGGGAAATATGTGTATTAATCATTTTGTTTTGCATGATTCTGAACGACTGCGTTTTCTCTTTACATTTTTTCAAACCGTTCGTTTTCTGCATTTCTTCCGTTATTACAATAACAATAGAATAATAATGATAATATTGTTACTTGCATTCTATGTTCACCGTTACCAATTTTTTTCCTATTTTAAAGATTCCAGGCAAACTATGCAAGAAAATGCCGTTTTAACGATTCGTGTTGAAAAATGTGAATCATGTCTGGGATTTTGTATTCTGTCAGTAATTTTTTCGAATTAATGTGGACCTGGGGAATTGTTTGTTTGTAGGATGATCATCAACCGTCTCACGGTAAAAAGCTCTTGGCACGCCACTCTTTCAACAAAAGTCGCGGCAAGAAATGAACTGGTATTTGTTCTTGATATCTATTTACTTAATAAATCTCGAATTTAAATAATCGTGTCCCGTCTTCTATTTTTCATATATTTACTAACGATGATGTTTGAATATGATTGCATGCAGCTGTTATTCCCTCATAGTACGCCATCAAAGATCAACCTAAGCAGCACCAAAAGTAAAACCAAAACGGCGTTTGAGTTATTTGTTTGCTTTTGAAATTATACCTTGTTTGGATTATTAGATTTGAAAGTTGATTTTTCCGTGTTACTTGTGAAGCGCTTACGAGAGAATCTCTCTGTTATTATGTCCCGAAGTGGTTTTTCTTTTTCTTTCCGTTGTTTCGACGTTAGTTGCAATAACGCCTTGCGAGCGTAAGTCTTGTTTAACATAATATAGTATTTGTGACTGTAATTTTAATATTTTGGTTGTTTTTATTAAACAATATTATATATTGGCTTGAGATGATTTGACTCTATTTATCTATTTGATACTTTGGCTTTAGATGAGATTCATTATGAATTTATTACCACTAATTAGAGATAAGAATTTGAATTTCTTGATTAGTTTTTGTTATTTTGATTTTAGAATTCTCCCTTTTAATTATTATTATTATTTTTAATTTCTACTCGTTTTTATTTTTGTTAAATTAAAAAAAAATATTTTTTTTCTCTTAAAAATAAAATATATGAAGTAACCAAAATAAAAATAGATTTATGTAATCAAATTTAAATAAATATAATCAGAAGATTATGTAAATTTAAATGGTAAAAATAAATTATATTTTTGTTTAATTTTGTAATTAGAAGATTTGAGTCGGTAAAATAATATACTGCAAGTAAAAAAGAAAAGGAGAAAAATATAGTATAGGTAGGTGGTATAGGGGCAGTATATTAATAATGGAGGGGTGTAAATGAAGATATTCTATTAGTACAAGGATGTAAGTGCAATTAGTTGATAATAATAGAATAATAAATATACCAAAGAGGGGAAACTTTTCCTAGATTTTTCGTTAAACCCTTGCTTGCCCCTTCGTTCTCTCGCCGGCGCGCGACGACCTGAAGTAATCGTAGACGATGGATCCTCAGCCGGAGCCCGTTAGCTACATCTGTGGAGGTACCCTTTTATCTTTCTTCTTCTTCTTCTTCTTCTTCATATTAATTGTTTGTTTTTTTCGCCGATTCGTTTTGAATGTAAAATCGGAATTTTGCAGATTGCGGTCAGGAAAACACGCTGAAGCAAGGGGATGTGATTCAGTGCCGTGAGTGTGGTTATCGTATTCTCTACAAGAAACGTACCCGCAGAAGTAATACTCTCTCTCTCTCTTAATTTTCTTTTCAATCTTCTGGTTAAGTAAAATGTCACTAAATTTGCTGTTTTAATCAAGTTTTGTGAAGTGAATAAGAAATTGAATAAAAAAATAAGTATATTAACCATGGTGAAATCATCTGACTATGGTAGTATAGTTTTCGAAGATTTTGGCTGTCGGGATTACGCGGTGGATCCAATATTTGATTTATAAGTAGTTCTTGGCCCAATTTCAATATTGTTTAAACTTACACGGCGAAGAAAATAAATATCCTCGTTCCACCATTTCAGTAAGTTGCGAAACGACACTCCTTATCTATTTTCCTAATCTATTCGTATTGCCTAGGAAAAAAAGAAAAAAAAAAAAAGGAATACTTACGAATGTTTTCACATTCCCTCGCGATTCGGTCTACACAGATTGCTCGTAGACAAGAACGCTTTCTTGTGTTTATCTTTTTTGCCTTGAGTTGTATTTTGCAGCTCGTGGGGAAAATAAAATTGTAATGGATGTCGAAATATATAGTTATCGTTTTCTTTTTTCGTGGGGAGGTGCAAACGAGGTTATGTAAGTATGTTTTGGTAGTTTAATCTTGTGGTTGTACACGAGGTTTTTTCGTCTTGCGTTTCGTTACTTGTGGGTTTTATATAATCCATTCTTCAATCCGCTTCGTGACTCGATTTCTTCGCACAATGGTTAGTTGTTCTATATAATTGTTAAGAAAATGGAAACACACAGGGTTAAGCAACCCTCCTATTAATCTGGAGCCTTAATTCGCTATTATCTTGATAATCGTATTATTAATTTTTTTTTTATGCATTTAAAATTAATTGTGACATCTGTTTATCATTATTTATTGATGCAGTTGTCCAATATGAAGCACGTTAAAGCTGATGTTTCGGAGGTACATATAGGCGGGGCATTTAAGCAGCATATCTGCCCGTTTATTACATAATTTCGTTTCGTGCTGCGAGCTGTTGACTCTGGTGTTTTATGTGTGTTTAAGGTACCGGGATTTATAATATAAGATCGGATTAATTTGGATTATATCGGATTGTATTAATTCTCTAATGACTTACTAATAGTAGGATGTTTGGTTTATTGTATTAGCTCTAGTACTAAAATTGTTTAAATCTGGTTTTAAATGTGATTTCTCACCAACTTTCCATAATTTAACTATATGGGTAAATAGCACTTAACCCCCTATGGTTTGAACTTTGTGGACATGACCCCTTGTAGTTTATATATAAGCACATGACCCCCCTGTAGTTTGAACTTTGTGCACATGTGTCCCTTGTAATGATAGCGCCTCGCACGTTGCAACTCTTCACTTGTGAGTACTTACTCGATCCATCCATTTAAAAATAAGCGTCACATTTGCTATATTTGTTCGTCACTTTACAATTTCAAGTAAAAACAATTTTATAACTTTCTTAATTAATGTGTATCAACCATAAGGCAGCATTTGGATGGAACGATTTGAGGGAAGGGTTTCAAATTCATAATAAAAAATTCATTGTGATTGTTTGAATCGATCGGGTCATTTGACAAAGAACTTAAAATCCATAACTTCTCGTTTTTATTGTTGAATCCTCACCATTTAGTTTCATTCGAAATCCATTCATTTTAATTACCCCAATCCAAACGCAGCGCGAACAACACTTACTCTGAAACGGAGGCGTGTATAAATACATAGGTATATAAATATGGGTTAACTGCAAAAAATCCCCTAAACTTTGGACGTTTTTGCGCTTTATCCCCTGAACGGAAAAAAGTTGCACGAGCATACCTGAACTTCACTTTTCTTAGCACCGGCAGCCAAAACATACCGGAATTCAAATCACGTGCCTCACACGTGAATATAGTTGGGTAAATTAGTCTTTTCCTTTTACTCCTATTTTCTTAATTTTCTTTTTAATAAATATAAATAAAATAAAAAAACTAAAAAGAAAAATGAAAGAAAGAAAAAAAGAAAAAAAAAAGAATATTGCTGCACCAGTGCACACCATCGTCTTCGTCCCACCTCCACACACAAATCAAACAACCATAACCTCTACAAATCAAACACCACCCACCGGCCACCACAACCTCTGATCCGCCGCCGCACCACCACTATCGAACCAATTTCAATCCATTCCCCATTCACCATCACAAGGCAGAGAAATTGGGGTTTTTCGCTGGTGCTCCGGTCTCAAAATTTGACCGCCGGCTGGTGGCTCTTTCTTCGCCGCAATCAATCAATGGACGGCGGTGACGGCGAATTCCAGTGGTGGAAGAACCCAATTTGGTGGAAATATGACACGATAGCAAGGGATAAACCTTCCACCATTGAAACCTCTGGCGGCGGTGCATCAATTTCAGCCCAAGACCAATTTTTTTTTTTCTTCTTTGAATCAAAGTTTGATTCCGCCGAGGAATTTGAGTTTTTGGAATCAAAACTTAATCAACAATACAATCCTCAATTTGGTGTTTTTTTTCGGGAGAGAGAAATATTGATTAATATGATGTTCTGGTGTGATGTGGTTTCGAGTTGCGAAGCAAAGCGGCGAAGGGCGGTGAAGCAGAGGCGGCGGAGGGAGGTGAAGCAGCGGCGGGTGAGGGCTGTGGTTGAAGAGCAGTTTGGTTGGGGCTGGTGGTGACGGGAAGAATGGTTGGGGATGATGGTGACGGAAGAACTTTTTTTTATTTTCCTCTTTAAGATTTATTTATATTTATTAAAAAGAAAAGGAAAAAAATGGGTGTGAAATGGAAATGACCAAGTTACCCCCACGTGTAAGGCACGTGATTTGAATTCCGGTCAACTTTGGCCAAAAATAGACATTTTAGATGCCGGTGCTAAGAAAAGTGAAGTTCAGGTATGCCCGTGCAACTTTTTTCCGTTCAGGGGGTAAAGCGCAAAAACGTCCAAAGTTTAGGGGACTTTTTGCAGTTAACCCTATAAATATCATGATAAGCTACTTCTATCAAAACTAGCACAAGATCAAAAACTTGCATCAAAACATTTTACATTTATTAGTGGTTCAAATTGTACATGGCATTACACATAGCCATGGAAATTCAAGAAACCATTACATATTATACATCAACTATGGAAAGTGGCAATCTCAATCCCTTTGTCGGTATAAGCAACCGGCGCGTCGTATTTGCTGAAAAGCCTATACGAAGAGATTAGCGAGAGCGCCGCATAGCAGAGTGTCACAACAAACGTGATCACTACAGAAGCCGTCGCCTTACGGCAAAAACCACCGAACGAGCCACAAGTCCGGGACCACGTTATCGAGGCATCGCCTTTGTAAGCCAAGTACACCACCTCCGTTGATATAGCCGCCGCCGCTAGTATTACGTACGTCAGAAGCTGCATTTATTATTATTTTTTTCCGATGGAATTAATTGTTAATTTCGAATTTGATTTATTGAAAGATGAATTGTGAGTTGAATGAACGTGTAATTAATGTTGAGAAATAGATCAAATTCTTCGAAATTAGGTGAGTGATTAATTGACAGGACATATATTAATTAACCTAAAATGAGTGATTTGATAATTGATAGTATAGGCAATTACGTGTTTGAACTTGATTTGTTTTTTTCATAAATTTAGAGGTATGATAATTAAATTTATTAATTTTTGAAGTTCAATTCTTTTGGATCTCAACTTGATGTTTGACGAGCCAACTAATTATGATGCAACAAATTACTAATGAACCCTTAAGAATGCAATAAATTGCAAACTTAGAAAAAAAAGTTAATTCAAGTTGAGATAGAAATTAAATCGAATTTAAGCCATAATTTAATTAATTCAAATTCTTGGTTTTCTTAATTTTGAATTTGTGAAAATATCCATTTACAGTTAAACCTATATAAATTAGTGCAGTCGAAACTAACAAAATACTGTTAATTTAACGAAATATTAAATTATCGAACTAATAATTATAAGATTTTTACCGAATCGGTAACAGAAAAAAACTATTATTTTAAGCTGTGTTATTATTTTACCGAGGTTTTACTGAACTATTTTGAATTTTAAATTTTGAATTTTTCATGTTATTAATATTAACAAAACCTACTTAATATATTATCAAACTAAAAATTTAGTACATTTTTACCGAGTCATGACCGAAATAATTAAAATTATTTTAGGGAGATATTAATTTATCGAGTTCTACTGTACTGTCTTGAATTTTGAATTTTTCATGTTATTAATATTAACAAAAAAATAAAATAATAAAAAGGAACCTGGTCAAGGAGGAAGAAAGCCCAAGCGCGGGAGATGGTGGACGGCCGTGGCACCGCCGCGAAGACAGCCGACAAAAGGGAGTAGCCGGCGCAAACGCCGCTTGCATGCACTAAATATCTGTAAATATTATATAATAATAAAACAGTCAAAAATATGAACAAGATTTAGTTATATATATATATATAATTATATATTTATGTATATATATATACATACCTGAAGGCTCCGATGTCGGAATACGACAAGGAGCCGTACTCGTTGGTCTGGGAATCCTTGAGCATGATAACGAGCGCCCCCACACAGAGGGCCATCGGAAAGACGCGGAGCAGAGTCTCCACCGTGCGCATGGTGGCGCTTCCGTATTCATCCTCCCCCCGTGTTTGCGCCGCCCATCTCCGCCGCCGGAATTACACTATCCTTCGCCATCTTGTTTTGGTTAAATTTTTTTCAAGAAAAATGATCCAATAGCAGTCACTACTTATTAATGGCGAATTAGGTAAGGTTGGGTGATGGTGAAATAAATGCTACATTTAAGTACGCCACACTTTTCCATGCAGGCACTCTGTGCAAGAAAATCTCTCTCTCTCTCTCTCTCTCTCTCTCTCTCTCTCTCTCTCTCTCTCTCTCTCTCTCTCTCTCTCTCTCTCTCTCTCTCTCTCTCTCTCTCTCTCTCTCTCTCTCTCTCTCTCTCTCTCTCTCTCTCCCTCTCTCTCTCCTTTCTCTCTCTAGAAATTAAATATGAGCCCATGCAAATTGGCAAATTGGTGAAATGTGGAGCCACATAGGGTCACGGGGTAGTCCCCCTCACTCATTGTCAACAATTTTAGGTCTTTATTCGAAACCGGTGTAGGACCGGGGGCCATGACCCCTCATGAATTTTAAAAAGTTTTGTTTCAGTTAAACTTTGTAAATTAATATTGAAGATTTTGAATAAGGAGAGAACTGAGAAGGTGATGATATCTCATTCATCGATGTAGAATATATATACAATGAATACAACTGATTTTAAGGAAAGAATGGAAGGGAAGATACAACATATCAGCAATATAATTTGCATAATGATTTTATTCCATAACATAACTCCTTATATTGCGTGTGTGATGTTGCCATGATTTGTGGGATTATTATCCTTAACAAATATATATAGTTGTGACTAACAAAAATTTATTAATTTAGGGAAATACTAATTTATCGAACTAATACTTTAGTACGTTTTTACCAGTCAGGACCGAAATAAATTGTTATTTAAGCGAAGTTATTCATTTATCGAGGTTCTACTATGTATATGCGTGTGCAGCATGCGTTGACCACCTATCTTCTAATTATCTCACGAGTTAAGTATGTATGAAAATTGAATGGAATGTAGGTTTAACTTATAACTCGGTAAGATATAACTACCAGAAAACATGACTTTTGTGACGGATAATTTTGCGACAAAATGGAACAAATTTAGTCACGATTAAGCTTTTGTGATTGATTCGTGACCTAATAGCCTGTTTGAAAAACCCTCGTCACAAAAATCCTGTTTTTCGGTAGTGTAACTAATGGAAATTTTGACAAAAAACTATTTAATTCATAAAGGGTGAATTATACCAACCGATTAACATACCGAATCGTATCAATTCTCTAACCGGTTCGATCCAATCATAATCATAATTGATCCGCACTGATTTGGCCAAACGCAAGGCCCAAACCCAGTTAAAGGAAGCCCAACAAAGGAAAGAAACCTCGTGGGCCCGAATAGGGAAGCCCAATGCCATAATAGACCGCAATGGGCAATTACCGAAGTATAAATCACACGAGGTGGACAGACGAAGTAATTCTACGTCTCAAAGAAGAGACATTACGTCGACATTTCGAAAGTCGTGCAGGGGACAACTCTGGAAGGAAAAGAACGGGTGACAGGCTTGAACTGACTGAGGGACGACAGTGGAAAGAACCAATGAGAGCTGGCCACGTGGCAGAATAGACAGAATGTCGGTTTTTGTGCCTAGGAAATGTAAAACAAGCCCAATAAGGGCCCATGCTGTAGTAGTATATATACTAGTTCATTTATAAAAAAAGAGGACAATTGGTTACTTTAGAAGAATTTAATGCACTAGACCCTCCATACACATTATCTTATCTGCATTATTTGGTATTCTTTTACATATACAAGGTATGGTTATTTAAACATATAACAAGATCTAAATATTATCCTCCCATCAATTGAACAAATGAAAAACCTATATTATTGTATGAGGCTAATTTAGTCCCATCAATAATCGAGTAGATTGTTTGATCTAATATGTTAAGGGTCCATTTTATTCAATTATATGGAGACAAAAGCAACTCAATTGCCAACCAAGGTAGTATGGACCACACATAAATTGTGTGATTTAATGAAGAGGGATGGAGCTTGGCTACACGGCATTAATGATTTAATAACATATCAGTATTGAATTGACAATCATAAATGTAGATAAGGACAATTTTTTCAGATAAAGTTGAATCTGAGATTTACACACAGTTTGATTGATTGCAAAATGATCAGTAAAAAATAGACGTTACATCCGATGAAATATATCAAATGATTTTAAATTATAGATCTAAACATAATAATACATTAATTTTATGTGTTTGTGTGCTCACTGAATGATTTATTTTATAGATCTATGATTTAAAATCATTCAATGTATTTCAATGAGTATAGCATCTCATATACCTGATCTATGTAGCACAGACTAACTGGGACGCGTTAAATAAGGAAATGGCCAAACGGACATATAACTTTTGTTTCCTTTATAGTAAACATAATTCGAAATATCTAGAGACTAAGAAAAAAAGGAAAAGAAAAAATTAAAAAATACAAATGACATTAGTCATTCAATCCAAAACATAACTTCAATTTTAATTGCAAATAGAATAAAAGAAAGATAATTAGTATTATAAATTAAAAGAATAAAGATTATGAGAGATAAATGGGGAAATTAAACTTTTCATCCCTCAAGTTTGCAGCAATTTCATATTTGGTCCCCCATGTACACAAAAAACACATTTGGTCTCTCATGTTTCAATAATTTAATATTTTTGGTCATTTCCGTCATTTTACCGTTAACTCGCGGAGTTGGGCACACGCTTGATTCTGTTAGTAATAACATAAAATTAACGAAAATGACTAAAAGTATTGAATTTTTGAAATATGAGGGACCAAATATGAAATCGATATAAATTTGAGAGATGAGAACTGTATTTTTCACGAGATAAATCTATTAATTTTTTTTGATAATATAAATCTATTAATTCTTCAATGTTTATTAGAGATATACATATCTCTTTCTTTTCTTGCCCAACTGTCTTTTCCTTTTTTTTAAAGTTCTTTTTAATTTTTGTTCTTGATAGAATCCTTTCAGCAAACTACAATACATACCAAAACTAATATCTTGATAGATATAAGAACTCATGGCTTAATCCCATTTTGCATTCTTGAAATATTGTATTTTGGCACTTTGCACCCTCTAAACTAATTAATAGCACTTTGTGCCTTCAAAACACAATAAATTATTCACAATTCACCCACAAATGAATATTTTAAACTAGTGACCGTAATTTAATATTTTCAGTAGTATTTCTTTAGGAGGCCAAGTATCAAATTAATTCTTTTATATTCATTAATGCTTTAGAAACTAAAAAGTGTAAAAATAAATATACATTTCTTCAAAATATTTAAAATTTATATTTTTTTCACAACAAAACAGTTTACCAAAAAAAAAAAAGAAGGAAGAGGAAAAAAATTTCTTCATCTATTTTTTTATCAAGTTATTTGAAAGTTATATTTTCTTACGAATATTTTCACCAATTACAACAAAAGATCCAGTAATGGAATAATTTAGAGATAAAAATTTATGTTTTTTTTTTGTTAGAAAATAAAGTTTTAAGGTAACTTTGTCTTTTTTTTTTTGCACTTTGTACGCTAAAAAAAGTCGAGGGTAGTAGAAATAACAATTTAAAAAATTTGCCTTCTGTAAATTTTCAAAATTCAATTAAAACTATATTATAAATAATTTATTGTCTTTCGATGGTTCATAGTACTATTAATTATTTTTAATGGTGCAGAATGCCAAAATACAATATTTTTCAAAGGTGTAATGCGAGATTAAATCAAAACTCTTCAACCGTCAAAGTCAAAGCTAATAGAGAGAAATAAGCATAATAATCCAATTTGCATTGACCACTTCCACATTCAAATGATATCCGATTTTATGGTATAAATAAATGGGGATCCGTTTAGATATTAATTACTTTTTTATATTTATTTATATAGAGGGTGTTTGGCTAAGCTTATTTTAAACAGCTGATAAGTTCTTACGTCTGATAAGATGTTTTAAGAGCTGATAAGCTGTTACATCTTATTTTTAAGATTAATTTTTAGACTGTTTGGATAATGATCTTATTTCATATTTTTACTCATTATAAGATCTTAAATAAAAAGGTGGGGTAGAGGTACTTTTTTAAAAAGATATTATTTGCTCTCCAACAGCTTATTTTAAGAAAAATAAGATCTTTTTTAAAAAAAATTACCAAACACTTTAGAAGAGCTTATAAGCTCTAAAACATCTTATAAGCTCTTTTTAACATCTTATAAGCTTAGCCAAACACCCTCTTAATGAAGATTATGATTCATACAATCAAAACTACAACTGCTATTGCTAAAATAAAACCGTTGACTTCGTGAATAATATATATATATATATATATATATATATATATATATATATATATATATATATATATATATATATATATATATATGTATATTAATTTGCATCCACCTCCTTTTAACTTTGGTCTTTTGACAATTACACCCTAAACATTTAACCTTTTGGAATATATACACTCCTTCCATCCATTTTTCCGTTAGTACGAGGGGTAGGGTAGGAAAATTACAAATAAATAAATAACGAAAGAAAAATAAATTTAACTTGCTAAATTAACACGAGGACCACAAAAGGGCTTTTTAATTAGTTTCTCAATCTTACGTCTTCTCAAACTTGTCTTGCATCATTTTTCAATATTTATGAAAAAATACTTAATTCATTATTGCTAGTAATATAATTGTTAGATCTACAAAAAATCATCATACCATTTATGTAAATGTAATACTGATCAGTTAAAAAATATAATACTATTGGTATTGGAATATAAAACTGAATTGAGTAAGTCAAAAAATAATAGACACTGACAAAAAATTAAATTGGATGAAAATACTGCACTCCAACAACAACAACAACATTATTATTAATAATAATAATAATAATAATAATAATAATAATAATAATAATAATAATAATAATAATAATAATAATAATAATAATAATAATTAAAAAAAACATGTAACATGTGGTTGCTAAAATATAAA